GTTGGCATGACTCTCAAACTCAAGGTCCTGCCATTCCTCCAATTTTCTATAAAAATCTTCAAATAGCTGCCCTGTCTCTGATCACTGCCACTTCAGTCTGGACAGTAGTCTTCTGTGTACAGTATTCTTCCTAAAGCCCAACTCTCCCAGCTTCCTGGTTACATCAGACACCCTGGAGGCTTTGTGATTCTGTCCACACTGTTCCCTGCCAGGAGTGCAGCCCCCGCCTTCTCCAAGGGGCAGGCTCAGACCAATCCTCCAGGTTTCCGTTCCCAGCCTTCCCTCCTGTGAGTGTCCATCCTCCACCTGAGGCATGCTTCTTTGTGCTCTTCTTGTTCATACACCCATTATTTAAGTTATTATAGTAGTTTGTATTTCAATTATTTCCATATATATCTTTTCACTCAACTGAGAATTTTATGTTTAGAAATGCCTTACCAAAATTGTATCCTCCTAACAATAACAGAGTATCTTTCACAAACAGATACTCATTAAATATTATTGAATGAATTTGAGAGTGAACACACCTTCCCTCTGCTTGAAAACTCCCAATCTGAATTTAATGGTCTGTTAAATAAAATCAAACTTACTTAGCTTGCTATTAAGTATTCTTTAAGAGTTGGGCCACACCTTAATTTTATCCATTTGTTCTTATGATCTTTTGACTAATGATTTAGTAGATAATTATTGGTAGATAATTATTTGACTAATGATTTGGCAGATAATTACTAAATTCTGTAGTAGAATAAGCCTAGTTCATGGCCCCTTGGCCTCACAGAACTCAGAATCTAATGGTGGATGCTGATACATAGGCCAAGAATCACAATTACATGGAGTAAGATGCTGGCCTAGGGAGAAACACGGTGCCCTAGAAGCACAGACCTTTGACGTTCTAGCCTAGGCGTGTCAGGGAAGATGCCCTGACAAAAGTGCCATCTAACCTGAGACTTGAGGATAAACACAGAACAGTGGGAGGACAGGAGGCAATGAGAGTTGGGGGACTGGTAACATAGAGATCCTGAAGTAGGGGATTTCTAGAAACTGAAGAAGAGCATAATAATTAAAATGTAATGAGCAAGGTGGGGACAGTATCTGAAGACGAGGCTGAATGAGAAGCCCTAGATCAGATTAAGATGAGACGTTCCATGATCAAACTTCGATATTGGAACACTTCACTCTGCTTCGTTGTTAAGAAGAGATTAGAAGGGGGCAAGGGTAGATTTATGAGGTTCTTAGTGTAATTAAGAAAAGAAAGCTGTTGGCTTGAATAGAAGTAATGAACAAGCAGAATTGAGAGAAGTGGTCAGATTTTGTAAATATTTAGCAAATAAAATCAATACAATTTGATCAAGATGGAAATAAGATTTGAGGAAGACAGAAAAGGTTTAACATCATCAGGTTTTGCTGCTTTCTCGTACTTGGAGGCTAGGTATTATTTACTAATATGTGGTAGAGAAACGAAGGAGCAGAACAAAAAATGAACAGTTCAGCTTAAAAAGTTGAGTTTAATGAGTTTGTGGGATATGGAGAAAAGATGTCTCATTGTCTGTTGGATATATAAGTCTCAATACTGTGATCTACATCTGGGCTGAATCTATAAATTTGAGAGTCATTTATTTATTTTTACAGCATGTAATTGATGCCATGAAAATGTATATATTATGAGGAAAAAAAAAAAACCTCAGGCCTGTCTCTTTGGTTGTTTTTTTGTTGTTACAATTTATTTATTTATTTATTTAATTGGCAAATAGAATCGCATGTAT